AAGCCGTCTTTGAAGAAAAATGCGAATGTGTTGAGAGGAAGTATAACGGCTATGAAATACACCTTCCCAACAAAGAGAGCCTCCGAATCAATGGAACTTTTACTTTGGAGGAGAACGTGGCCGACATTATCGGGATGGAAATGGCGTACAAATCCTGGATGGAGAACGATATGGATAACTCCCCCATGAAATTTCAATTCCAACAATTAGCTCGGTTTACCGAGCAACAAATGTTTTTCATTTCTTGGGCACAGGTAAATATTTAAAGTTTACGGGCCAGAGGTCGACGCCGAAAACTATTGGGCGGCGGCGGCGTCAGTTTTTGTTGATTTAAAAATTTCCAACTAATTAACTTTGTGAATGATTGAGACTACTTTGGTCAAAATCGGAATACAGTACAAAAATTGTCACTACTTCTTGAATAATCCCCACACTTATTATTAATTTAGGAATGGTGTGAGGCCTTTAAGGACGATGAAACGGAGACCATCCTGCTTACTGATCAAGTAAAAACGGATGTCCACAGCCCCGCATCAGTCCGAGTTTTTGGGACGCTAAGCAACTTTAAGGAGTTTTCGGACGCATTTCACCGCCCCGTTGGGGCGAGGTACAATCCAAGTGAAAGATGCCGGTTTTTCTAAGCTTTTTGGACAATTGGACAATGCTACAGGCTACATCCCTCTAAATTCAAGCTGTCCCTTATGTAGCGATAATTGTTCTGTTGAACATCATAAGTTTTCATGTACTTCATTAAAATCTGAGCGACAATCACTAATTTACCAATTAATTCCTAATTATAATCCAATTGAATTTAATAATATGCAACTTCATATTGCTCTTTTTTCTACTTCATATAGTGATTATTTTGACTCATGTTCCTACCAATAATTAGTTTTATACTTTTTTACGATTTTATGATATCAATATTATGTAACCATTCATGATGTGCAAAGGACTAGGTTCAGAAAAACCGGTACATGGTGTTGGACGAGTTATCGCAAAACTCAAAACGCTCTTACACGTGTCTAATAGAATCAAAAATTAAGGTACACGTGTTCGCGCGTTTTTTCGCAAGGTGCTCCAAATTTTTCATTTCGCCCCAAATACTGGGAAAAAACATTGTGACGCTACCAGTGCGGTGATTGATTCCAAACTTGGCATGTAAGCCTTATTTGGCATTGCCCACAGTGCCTGAGAGACTTGGCCGCCTAGGTTGAAATTTACAATGCCAATTACCTGACAATTTTTACAATTTTTTCGTTTTTTCAGCACAGTTTCCTAGTTTATGTAATGGTATCTTTCTAGCTTTATATCTCTACAGAAACCCTATATTCTGCTTCGAATGCCGCTCCGCTGAACCTCATAGCTCAAATATTAAGGGTACTTTGTAGGAAGTTCGATTTTGATGGAAGTTCCCACGAAGTAACCCTAATGCTCATTTTCTCTATTAGTTTCAGTTCGATTTACCCAAATTTTTGATATGTTATACATATTTTGTAGTCAAACAATCGCTAGTTGCAACAAATGTCGAAATCGACCTGCGTGACCTTTTTCCAGAGGTCAGAAGGAAACGTCGAGCACTAAAGTCTCACATAACCCCATACCTGGGGTATCGTTGGAATGGTCTCGGAGAGAGGATTCAGAATATATATACTTTGTTGGGTCTGGGACCACCCCCTAATAATTTAGAGACCAATGAGAATTATTGAGTTTTATTTTTCCAGGTATACAGCCGTTAACACAGGAGCAGATTGAGAACTAACATGGCAGCAGATTGATGAAAACTCGAAAATATTCTTATGACCCTGGAACAACAGAGAGCACTCACAGACCCTGTAAAGTATATATATTCTTATTCCGTATGCCGAGACCTTTCCAACGATACCCCAGTTATGGGGTTATGTGAGACTTTAGTGCTCGACGTTTCCTTCTGACCTCTGGAAAATGGTCACGCAGGTCGATTTCGACATTTGTTGCAACTAGCGATTGTTTGACTACAAAATATGTATAACATATCAAAAATTTGGGTAAATCGAACTGAAAATAATAGCGAACATGAGCATTATGGTTACTTCGTGGGAACTTCCATCAAAATCGAACTTCCTACAAAGTACCCTTAATATTTGAGCTATGAGGTTCAGCGGAGCGGAATTCGAAGCAAAATATAGGGTTTCCGTAGAGATATAAAGCTAGAAAGATACCATTACATAAACTAGGAAACTGTGTTGAAAAAACGAAAAAATTGTAAAAATTGTCAGGTAATTGGCATTGTAAATTTCAACCTAGGCGGCCAAGTCTCTCAGGCACTGTGGGCAATGCCAAATAAGGCTTACATGCCAAGTTTGGAATCAATCACCGCACTGGTAGCGTCACAATGTTTTTTCCCAGTATTTGGGGCGAAATGAAAAATTTGGGGCACCTTGCGAAAAAACGCGCGAACACGTGTACCTTAATTTTTGATTCTATTAGACACGTGTAAGAGCGTTTTGAGTTTTGCGATAACTCGTCCAACACCATGTACCGGTTTTTCTGAACCTAGTCAAAGGCTGTTGGCTATGATGCAATAAATCTATTATTATTATAATTTACAACCTTTCTGCATACTTTCGTATGTATATGTAGTTAATCAAACATGATTTGGGGACGTCCATATATTACGCTATCGTAAAGATGCCGATTATTTTGCTCACCCACCTACCCACCGTGTCCATACACTAATCTTTGTTAAGGTAAACACGAGTGCTATGGGCGGCAAGAAAACACCCACCCAACTTTTTTGATGACATGAAATATGGGCGTTCCCGTTATTGATTAGTTAGTAAATAAGTACGTATTCCTGCCACATTTTAAATGATAAGAATGAGCCACGAAAAGTTAGATAAATATATTGTCTTTCTTGCACGAACAATTACTGAATTTCATAATTTTTTGTATAATGTGCTGGAGTATCGATGTGCAATAAATAAAAAATAAATAAATTTATATTAATAAATTTGGAAATAAACCAAATGCAAGCATTTTCTATCAATTAGGGAACCTCCATAATGTATGTTATACAAAAATAGCCATTTTTCTGACCATCCTGCCTTTTTGCCTCGTGTTCAGCCTTTAAAAAATGACCCATTTGGGACTGCCAGGCTGAACTTTTACACAACTCAACCGTGACATAATATATGGACATCCACTTAAATAAATAGGTGAAGATACATAATCTCTCGTTAGATAAACAATTGACCGACAAACGAAGCAGAAAGTGCTTAAATGTGACGGTACATACATTATTAATTATGTACATAACTCATTTACATATTTACCATTGTACAAATTTATTGATCAAATGCCCCACCTAGTTTTAAAATTTGTCTAAGACTTTAAAAACTTTATGCACTATCAACCGATAAATTTCCATCATGTAATTTATGAACGCCACCTTATGTACTTGCGAGTGAGGAAAATTAGCTGTGGGTTCGACACGAGATGATATTTCCGTATGTATGAATGTATTTATGTATTGTCATAAATATAAGAAAAACTTACCCAAGGATTGTGTAAACTAGGGGATGACACATTCATCAGATTTCATTTTACGTTGTTTATCTCAAATTTACCCAAGCGTTTAGACAGATTTTTCCAAATTGTTGTTTCCTATGAAAATTGTATCCGTATTTATGTACATATTTATGTATAAGAACTAACCTACATACAGATGTAATTATTTTAAAGAAGAACTTTAAGTGTGATGCAATATTTTTCTATGTATGATGACGGCTAAAGCCCATATGTCACTTAAGAAATTTATTGATTACCGTACTATTCATAAGAAAAATTAATGTCATGATTTCTATTAAATCCAGATTATTTTTTGCCCCTCACACTTTGAGAAATGTTGGTTGAATTTTTTTGCTAAAAATCCAATAAAGCCCACAAAATATGTTAAAACAGGTAATACGCTTTATGTATGTATGTATGTAAACCAAGAAAAAACATACAATCAACTACACAGTAAAGCATCCGATAGAGTCATATATGTACTCCGTATTGATTTGGTAATAATTCCTTACCGGACTGGTTATAGCTTGATTCTGAGTGGTAACGATTTCATTACCACCTCATTACTACATATGCCGTAACGATCGATATTACCGATCATATATGTATGTACTCCGTCCGGTAATAATTCCTAATGATCCAATTCAAGTTGCCTAAAAGGGTAAAATCCTGCGTTTTCCGAGTCTTGGAACACATTTAAAGGCAATATCTTTTTAATCATCCGTGACGTGAGTACAGTCAAAGTCCAGCCAAACAAAACCTCTTCCACGAATCGTGGTGACTCACTCTACTTCCTTTGCGTAGCTAAAATCGTAAAAATGAACCCACTTTTAATCATTTATCAATGGGGCCATCTATATATTACGTCATCAAGAATTTTCGAATTTAGCACCCACCCACCCTTCGTAAACATTCAGGGGTAGGGAATCTTAACATGGGAAAGATAGGGCGACCGAAACCACCCACACACTAAAATGATGACGCAATATATGCACGTTCCCTTATTCTGAGGATTTTATTTTTTACAAATTTATAGAACAAGTCGTAGTAAATTAAACATTTAAAAATTCACACCCCCGATTTTTACAGGTTAAATAAGAATCCTCCCGAAAAATTGGCTCGTTCAAACTGGCTTAAAAAACTCTCCGTAATTTCATTCCATCAATAAATTTGTTCAAATTAACCGTTCAGAATTTTAAAATAAATTCACAAAGGGAAGAAATCATTATGTAAATATGTGTGGATTTAGACCATTCCGACGATGACTCATCCAGTCCTACATACTTCTCCCAGCCTCAAAATAACTTGGAACACACGCATTTGTCAATCCCAATATGTAAAAAGGCAGATAGTCCAAGATTCCGGCTCAGTTGACACTGATCGAGCAGAATCTTAACACTTCTGAAAATATTATCATAAAAAAAATTATAGCTACAATAGTGATGTATAATTACACTAAAATCATTTAAATTTCCTCCAATTAAACTATCTAATTTATGTTTGTACGTGAATAACTTTATAATTATATACGTTCGTTTACCATGAAAGACTTCACATTATTCGCCATTACGTCATCCGCTACTTTGTTATTGTTTTCCACGTACGAAATTCTATTTCGGCAAAAAACTGCGGCAAAAACCGGTCATGAGGAGTCGTGTGAAACTAATTCGGCTTGTTTAGTAAAGGCTGTCGAGTATTTGTAATCCTCCATGGATGAATCGTTCCCTCCTTGCGAGGACTTTTACAAGGTAAGTATTAATATTCGGGGTATTCATTACGAGTTTGGGGCAAAGTTTTATTTGAAAAAACTTAATATGTAGTTGCCTTGTAGAGGAACAATTTCGAAAGGAATTTTTTTCAGCAAGTTTTTTTTATTTTTTTATTTTTTTGGCTGAGAAAAAAATATATTACTTGTCAGGTTTAATTTCTCAAAATTTAGGCGCTGAGAACCACGCCACTCGGGCGTGGTTTTTAAATTTCGAACGTTCTGTCATTACTAGCCAACTGGGGCAAAGACATTCAAATTTCCATTTACAAAACAATTTAGAAAAACTAATTATCTGTTGTAAATTTAGAATTGTACTTAGTTTGTAGAATTTTTTTTGTGTAGTTACGTCTTTTTAGAATTAAGCATCGAGTGCACTTACGTTTTTCTTAAACTAAGCGTCGAGTGTTCTTATGTACGTCTTTTTAGGATTAAGCACGGAGTGCACTTACGTCTTTTTAGGATTAAGCATCGAGTGGACTTATGTCTTTTTGAAATTAAGCATCCAGTGCACTTACGTCTTTTTAAAATTGGCGCGACTATATGTTTGATGGATTTATCTGAAATTTCTAAGAATAATATTTTAATATATGCTTGTTATGACAGTACGCCTGCCAGGGTTGGATTAAAGGAAAGGTGGCCAAGTTAAAAGAGACCAGGGCAAAGGCGGCCACACGAACGTCGGACGTCTCCAAATGGAACGAACGGTCGATTATAGCCCTATTAGGTAATTATTTATCTACACTATTCCATAAAACCCCAAGGTCTTTGCTCTTGGGGGTTTGCTTTGGAGATGAATTCGGAGCTAAATACAACAGGTTGTACCAGTTTATTCGATTTTCAAAAAAATTTTAAAAATCCGGAGTTGGAGAATTCGCAAAATTTACGCTCGATTTTTTTTTAGAGTAACAAATTGAAAATCGAGCGTAAATTTTGCGAATTCTCCAACTCCGGATTTTTATTTTTTTTGAAAATCGAATAAACTGCCACAACCTGTCGTAGCTTCGAATTCATCTCTAAAGCAACCCCCAAGTGCAGAGACCATGATAAAAACACAACCACTCAGTTTTCTAAATTATTTCCCATCTTTGCTAAAAATTAACAAAAATCAAGGCATTTCGAAAAAAATATCTTCCTAGATAGTACATTATAAAATTAAAATTTGAAATGTCCTCCCACAGACGCCATCCAAACTTCGAGTCCGGGGGCGGAAGGAAAATTGAAGCAGTTTTACACCTCCTGCACTACAAATACGAGATGGACAGCTTTGATAAATTATGCCCAAAAACCAAATGATTCTCAGGAGAGGAATATCTTGGGGAAATATGGCGATTGGCTGTACGACCGTATAGCATCGTTCCTAATCGGTGAGAAAAATTTCGAACACAAAATTTAATAGGTTTTTTTTGTCTTCTACGTGTACAACTCAGAATGGAGGTCTCCCAACGTATGCTCACAGATTTGGGCCAAACTAGCGTCAATCGATAACAAATATAATTAGTATCAAATTTGCAAATGGAACTATTTATCTACCAATGCGCAGGTTTAGCGGAGATATTTGCATAAAAATAGGAGAAAATGCACCCCAAAGGCTGGCAAATTTTTCATTTTCCAAAATTGCTGCACATTTTTTCCGCTGTGGATGCAAATATCTCCGCCACACGGGCGAATTGGCAGATAGTTCCATTTGCAAATTTCATACTAATTATGTTTGTGATCGATTGACGCTAGTTTGGTCCAAATCTGTGAGTATACATTGGGAGACCTCCATTGTTAGTTGTACACGCAAAAGACAAGACTTGCATTGTTAGAAAATTTCCACGATAAAATACACGCCTAATAAGCCGGGAGAGTTACACCTAAATATGGTTCTCTAAATTAGTTAGAGTGTACATATTTACACTTACAATGCGACCCTGATAAGTGTAACACTCCGAGTTAGTTGAAATTTTCGGATTATGCGTCCCAAATAAATGCAAGCAATGTTTCTTCGGGCAATGGGTGGAATTTGTCAAAATACTGGAGGTCAAAGGTAAAAAATAAGCGATTTCCGAATGAGGTTTGCTTCCTCTGCTTGGTAAAAAAATTCACATTTTTCGTCTTGGACCTCAAATATTTTGGAGAATTCGAACCATGGCACAAAATTCACATAATTTTAAAATTTCAACCAAATCGGAGGGTTACACTTCACACCATCGCATTGTAAGTATAAAATCCATAAACTGATACCAACTCTTATTCCAAGCAGTAACGATTTCATACCAATTTTCTACCCTTATGTACTTTGTAGCTCACGCCAAGAAAGAGCTCTGCAGTTTTATACTCCAATCCAAATTTCCGCTCCTCCTGGCAAAATTATTCCTGGAAAAGAACATCGAAATTATTTCAAGCGCTGCCGAAATTTCGAATCGTGTCCTCCAAACGGTGAAAAAATCGGTGACATCGGCGCCATGGATTCCGACCCCGATTTTTCTCAACACCACGATCGAATTCGTTCCGGTTACCTTCGACAACCCGGGTATTCTCGACGAATTGTACTCATCTCTTCCCCTCGATTCGAACGATTTACTCAAAAATTTGGAACAAGTCGATAAATTTAACAAACTCCAGGAATCAAGTGCGCACCTGGGAAGCATAATAACGGCGGCGAAACTGACTCTAACCCAAAATGCGACGTACCACTTGGTCCCGGATTTTGTCTTCGTTACACCCGGTTGGGTGCAGATGCCCCGATTCCATCCCGGGTTTCTGGACGTTTTCAAATTCGCCAATTTAGGCGTAACCGTGGGACATGAGTTGGGTCACGCGGTGATGACCTACTTAAATGGAGTAGCACTCGGTAAGTTTTTAAGAAATGTATGTATGTATGTATGACCAAAGGCCAAAATCTTTAAAAACGCCACGCATTTTAAATCATTTCTTGGTCATACCTGTTCAAAAATGTCGTTTTCATTCAAAAGTCAGTCATCCCGATTTCGGACTGAAGATTTTCATTCACATTCACTCATTTTCGTTCATATTCATTTCATTTCACTTCATCTGACTTCATTTCTTACTTCGCCCCATGTATTAAGCATAGGGTGAAAAAGAAATGAATGAAAAATCCTTTCATTCACGGTCATTCATCTGAAATGACGAAATCCTTCACTCATTTTCATTCAAATCACAGGAAATTCACTTTCATTCACTATCATTCTCTATCATATTCAGTCACATGAATGAAAGTGAACAGGTATGTTCTAGATTGTGGGAATTTATTGACAATTTCTGGATTTCAAATTTGTAGAGAAGGTAACTCCCAATTAAAAAAATATATGTACACTACAGATTGTGACATTTTGTGAAGAACACCTCAAGTTTAAGAATAATTCAGAAAAGTTGGAACTCATCGAAAATGGATTAAAAAATTCATCACCTTTCTATTAATCAGTTACATAAATATCTACAAAATATTCCTCCAGAATTTTAAAATTAATTTATTGAGTGGGGGAATGATTAAAAATGTGCCATTTTCTTGATCAGTCATCACTATTTATTTTGGATCTACTTATTAAGGGGTGAAAACCCCTTTATGGAAATGTCTTGTCTGTCCGTCCGTCCGTCCGTATCCACGATAACTTTAGAACGGATTCGAATTTCGACATCCGGTTTTCGCCAACGTGTTTCTAATTTTTAGGGACAGGATGAGTTCGAAGATGGGCCTTGTAGGTCGTAAGGTCACAGCGCCACGGTGATGACGCCAACGGTCAAACGTGTCGAATTTTTTGTTTCCACCGTTTTAGACGTATTTTTGGACGGGGATTTCAGAAATCGCCATCATTTCGACGTGCGACGACCCCATGACCGTGTAGACGACGCCAAAGTCGAAAATTGGTGAATTTTTTGTTGTCACCGTTTTAGACGTATTTTTGGGCGGGGATTTCAGAAATCGTCATCATTTCGACGTGCGACGACCCCATGACCGTGTGGGAGGTGTCGAATGTCGAAAAATGACTTTTGTCATATGGGGTGTCTATTGAAAGGTATGGTCGTGTACGTTCGAAGTACGCGGGTGGGGTGTCAAAACGGGGCAAAATGAGATGTGGGGTGATGTGAGACAATGACGGGAAAGTGACGAAGGACGTTCTGGGCGTGCCACAAAGACAATTCCGTATGTTTTCACACCTTTGCTACATTTCGTTTGCAACGGTTTATTAAAAGTCGGCGCATTTGATTGACAAATTATTACTTTTTCCGAACACATAAGTTAAAATTAAGTTAAGTTTTAATCATGGTTAAATTAAAATTTTAAAATTTCATAAAAATTGTAATAATTATTATTCCAAGAGCCGTTCATACATGTTTAGATGTTTTTTACAATTTTGTAAAAAAAATTGCAAATTGCATGGCATGAATTAGATATTTCGTAACAGTGGGATTTCATAATTTCTATATTATTTATGGATAGCTCTTAAATATTTTTCATTGAGCTTAATATTTCACCAAAACAAATTTTAAATTTTAAATCAAACGAACAGATTTTTATTTTCCAATTTTGCTACTTGTTTCCAATAAATTTATTCTGCCTTGCAGAAAACAAAACACAAGTTTTCGTTCATGCGGAACCATCCGAAATCACGAAGGATGTCTTTAAAGAAAAATGTGACTGTGTCGAGAGGCAGTATAGCGGTTACAAGGTCCACCTTCCTAACAAAGAGGGAATCCGAATCAATGGAACTTTCACCTTAAGGGATAACGTGGCTGACATAATCGGGATGGAAATGGCCTTCAAATCCTGGGTAGACAACGATATAGAAAATTCATCTTACGGAAAATTTCAGTTCCCACAATTATCTCGGTTTACCAAAGAGCAAATATTTTTCATTTCTTGGGCGCAGGTAAATACTTATTTAAAGATTTTGGACTAACAATGCGATGGTGTGAAGTGTAACCATCCGATTTGGTTGAAACTTCGAAATTACGTGGTCCATGTCAGTACAACCAACGTTTCTTCAGACAGTTTGTGCGATGGTCAGAATTTGGCAAAATATTTGAGGACAAAGTTGAAAAATGTGCAATTTTTAGCACATGAAGAGAATGGAAGTTGAGTTTGCTTCCTCCGCCTGGTAAAAATCGCCCGTTTTTCAACTTTGACCTCAAATATTTTGCCAAATTCTGACCATCGCACAAACTGTCTGAAGAAACGTTGGTTGTACTGACATGGACCACGTAATTTCGAAATGTCAACTAAATCGGAGGGTTACATACACTTCGCATTGTAAGTAGAGGTCGACGCCGACAAAGTTTCGGCGGTGCCGCGACGCCAGATTTGATTAATTTTTCAGCGGCCTCTATGGCGTTGCAATGTTAAAGGAATAGGAAATCAGATTTTTCGGCAGCGGCGGCGTACACTCGGCGGCGTCGACCTCTGTATTGGAACCTTGTCACAAGTCCAAAACTTGGACTTGTGACATTGGAATTTAAAACCGTATTACTTTAAAATTTGGTTGGATTTTTTGAACGAGAACCTTTTTTTCTTGTAAAGTTTATGGCATGCAGGCCTCTTCTTATCTCAAAAATTGAACCATACTAAATTTAACAATTGCAGCGCATCACTTTTTAGCAAACAAGTGTCAACCGATTGCAAATTTAATTAATATGAATTTTTTGAAAAGACTCGAAATGATTTCTCAATGGGCACGTTTGGAGGAGTTGTTTGCATCCGAAAAGGAGAAAACGAGTGGTAAATTTTGAAAGTGTATTTAACATTTGTCAACTTTTAGACATATTTACAAGCAAGTACCTCTACCACACATGCCCATTGGGGGATCGTCTCATTTGCAAATTCCAAACCAATTTAATTTGTGATCGATTAAAACTAATTTGGTCAACTTATGCCATAATTGTTACTACTTTTTGAGTAATCCCCACATTTCTTATTATTAATTTAGGAATGGTGTGAGGCCTTCGAGGACGATGAAACGGAGACCACCCGACTCACTGACCAGGTAACATATGATGTCCACAGCCCCGCATCCGTCAGAGTTTTGGGGACGCTAAGCAACTTTAAGGAGTTTTCGGACGCATTTCACTGCCCCGTTGGGGCGCGGTACAATCCAAGTGAAAGATGCCGGTTTTTCTAAGCTTTCTGCATACTTTCGTATATATGGTTAATGAAACATGATTTGGGAATGTCCATATATTACGTCATCACAAAGAGGCCAATTTCTTTGAGATCACCCACAAACCCTTTCCCTATCCTAATCCTGTCAAGCTGTACACGAGTGACGAAGGCGACCTAAAACCACCAACCCAACTTTTTTGATGGCGTAACATATGAACGTTCCCGTTATTGATTAGTTCGTAAATACGTATTCCTACCACATTTTAAATGCTAAGAATGAGCCACGAAAAGATACATATATTGTCGTTCTTGCACGAACAATTACTGAATTTCATAATTTTTTGTATATAAATATGTATAATGTGCTGGACTATCGATGTGCAATATAATAAATAAATTTATAGAAATAAATAAGAAAATAAACCAAATGCAAGCATCTTGTATCACTTAGGGAACTTCCATAATCTATGTTACACAAAATAGCCATTTTTCTGACCATCCTTCCTTCTTGCTTCAGCATTTAACGTATGACCCATTTGGGACCCCAGGCTGAACTTTTACATAGCTCAACTGTGACATAATGTGTAGACATCCCCTTATATAAATAGATGAAGATAATCTCTCGTTAGATAAACAATTAATCGACAAACGAAGCAGAAAGTGCTCAAATGTGACGGTACATACATTCTTAATTATATACATAACTCATTTACATATTTACCATTGCAAATTTATTGATAAAATGCCCAACCTAGTTTTAAAATTTGTTTAAGACTAAAAAAAACTTTATGCACTATCAACAGATAAATTTCCATCATGTCATGCATCATATCCGTTGACACAAGTAGACATTTAGACATTATGTTCCCATTCGTAACTCAACATCAATGCGGATGATTTTTATTCCCTTTTGACGACCACTTTCTGCCCATAAAGGAACAAATTCTAATAAATTTTTAATTAAATAATTCATAAAATTAAATTTATAAATATGTACCATGAAATAGCAGATAAAATTATTCCACGAATTTATCTAGCCAAACTTTCCAGATAATTATAACATAAATTATTAGCGTTGAGACTCAATAAATTAATGGTTAGCAATTAAAGGATTGCAACAAATGCATCTGTGTCAGTAGATTAATGACCAAGTAGGTAATATCATGCTGGTATAAAAACCTATCACACTCGTCATTTATGCATATCAGTTGAACAGCTCATTCAATAGTAGCCAATTTGGCTCTTCATCATACAATCATGAAGCTAATCCTTGTTGCTATAACAATCATTGCATTAGTCAATGAAGCAAAATCCGATCCTTCAAAAATCGATCGGCGCCTGCTTTCCAGGAAGACATCCAATATCTTTATCACCTTCCACAACGGGACCGACTACATTTTACAACACACCCGCAGATCTCGATTTGCCGATAGGGGTGCCAAAATTACGGCACTCCGCAAAAATCTTCTCGCTCATGCCGACCTTAGCCAGGTCAAAGTGATCGATTACTTACAAAACAGAGCGAAAGAGCAACAAACAAAATATGAATCTTTATGGATTTCGAACCAAGTTTTTGTAAAAGATGCAACAATGGACAATATTAAAGCCCTCGCAGACCTAGAGGATGTTAAATCTGTCAATTTGGAAGAAGTAATTCGACTGGATGCCAAAAATTCGGACAGAGTTTCGCCAAGAGCTTTCCCTGCAATGGTGCCATGGGGCATTGACAAAGTCAAGGCATCTCAAGCTGTATCGTTACTCAAGGCGTCAGCTGTTCCTGCGTCGCCAGTCGTTGTGGGAGTCATTGATACTGGCTGTCGTCAAACGCATGAAACCTTAAGGGACAATTGGGTTGGCAAGGAGTATGGGTGGTTGGATGCAGTCAGTTTCAACCCCGATCCGATCGACACAACTGGACGTGGGACTCACGTTGTAAGGATTTTCTAACTTATATGCTGCCGTGGTATACTTGCGAAATTTATGAGTAATCAATATTTAGACCGGTACCCTCTGTGGAAAAGGAGGCATTGGTGTTTATCCGGACGCAAAATGGATGGCATGCCGTGCATGTGACAGCAATGGTTGTACTGGACTTGACCTGATTAATTGTGCCTCGTTCATGTTCTGTCCGTGGAACGCGAACGGCAATTTTGATTGTAGTAGGGCTCCAGTAATAATTAATAATAGTTGGAGCCTTGGTCGTAATTCCCAATGGTATGTAACTGCTCTCTATCACTTTAATCGCGTAACATAGATTTCAAGGATGCAAAAATTGTTTAACTGTGAGTAGGTTTGATCCTATTATTGCAATATGGATTTCTGCCGACATAGTCCCCATTTTCGCGATTGGAGATACTGGTCCAGGTTGCTTTACTACGGAGTCCCCTGGGGATAATGTGGACGCCATCGGTGTGGGTAGTACGGATATGAATGACCGGCTTTCCACGTCCTCCTCGGTCGGTCCTGGTATCACGGGTGCATTCAAGCCAGATGTTTCCGCCCCTGGGGTCGGCATTCAGTCAGCATCTTATCTTGGTGATGACTTGTATCGAACTGTATCCGGTACGGGAATGGCAGCCGCGCATGTATCCGGTTTGATAGCCATCTTACGGGCGTACAACCCCAGCTTGACCAATGCTGATGTGGCAAACTACCTGCGACTCGGGGCAGATACGAATGTAGTATCGACTGGGCAGGTTTGTGGTGGCGTACCGGACACCAGTTTTCCCAACGACCGTTTCGGTTCTGGCAGAATTAACGTGTATAACTCGTTGCAAAGACTGATCGGTTCAGTCCCTTTCAAATGCATGACCGCTGGGACCTACGCAAACGGTGGGGACTGTCACAAGTACTACAGGTGTGTGATGATAAAGGGGAAATTGTACACGTACGACTTCACTTGTCCAGCTGGGTCGTATTTTAATACGGACACCAGGAAATGCACTCTTGGTAACTGTCCATAATTGTTTTAGATTTGCGGTGTATGTACATATTTCTATTGAAATTCTTTACACTGAATAAATTAAAACAATTTATTTTGGTGTTAATAAATTAGTAATTAGATATTTATTTCTAAAGGTTTAGAGCTTAGACAATTTATTCCTCTAGAATATCGATGCATGCAATTATTATCAAGCACGTCAACAGTTTTTATCATTTTTGTGCATAATTCCATCTATGAATTACCATAATACCAGTTTTAACTACCTCGGTAAACTGAAGGATTATTTCCGTTTCTATCAATTCAGTGAGATTATCAACTTTGTGTCGAATCTAACCTATTGCGAAGACTAGTATTTAGTTAACATTTTTTATTCAAAATGTCGCAAAGACGCCAACTCGTAAAGAATATCCAAAATATTTTACAAATCAACATATCTATAACAACACCATCGACGAAGAAATAAATGGCCACCCACACCTTCAACTTTTGTCCGGCAAACGTTAACCGTTGTTGTAAATGCAAGCAGTAAACTTAACCGTACTTTTTATATGACAATACTAACTGTTTAAGTAGTACAAATGCAATTCTACCTTAATAGTAGTCACAATGGTTATCAGAGAGGAACAAATTTTCTACAATGTCGCCGATATTTTATATTATACCTTTGGCGTTGACATTGTAAATTTGATAAAAATTAATCCTCTAGCGGGACCATGTTGCATTAAGCTCACCCAAGCCGTACTAAGTTTGCCGTAATATTTTGCACAGGTTCTTACGAGGACATAAAATCTTATTTCAATACAAAATATAATTGAACCCACCCCCAAGCAAAATAACCAGTACAAAAATAAAATGCCAAAATTAGATAATAGTCCCAGTTTAATCTCCCCTTCCCGATAATTTCCACCATACAATAATTTTTCCATCCTGAATCTATCCTTGGCCAATTTTCTCGCTATTGTTGTATAAAATCGTTCTCGAAACATATCAAAAATACCTTCTGGACCGCTCCATTGGTCAAAGTTTTGTAAAAACCAGGACGCCGTCATGGTTCCAAAAGAGTTTAAAACGCAAGTGAAAGGACCAATTGGTCGTTTGATCAGGAAACAGAGGACCTGACTACCCTGCGAGAAGACTCTAGTATTTCTCAGTTTATACGCCAAGGCGTCATATACATAGATCGGATATTTTGCGTACTCCGGCCTCCGGCCGGCCATGCGTACTCCGGCCTCCGGCTGGCCACGCGTACTCCGGCCTCCAGAAAAAGTCGCGTACTCCAAGCCCGGAATTCTCCTATCTATGCGATCGGAAATTTTGCGTACTCCGGCCTCCGTACTCCGGCCTCCGCGTACTCCGGCCTCCAGAAAAAGCTGCGTACTCCGGCCTCCGGAGGCCGGAGTACGTACTCCAAGCCCGGAGGACTCCGATCTATGGTCATATATGTATATTGTCCCTTTAATCGAAGCCAATTTGTCTCGCCAAGTGATTTTGAACGGCTGAGCAACCTGATCGATTTCAGGGTCAATAATGACACTCAGGAAAGAAACATTCCTTCCAACTTGTTTCGCGATATTTTCTCCTACGTGAGCTTTTAACAGAACGACCACCTGCGGGCTGGATACTACTAATCGAAACCCATGATCAAGTGCCTCTTTAATACTCGTAAATACATGAAGTTGTAACGGAGCGGTTATACTGGTTGTCATGAAAGCTTCGTAGTGATAGCTTAGAAACGAGGTAAGTGTCAGACTAAGAAACAAGGCTGGGTGCTTCCAATGTTTAAACTTAGGGAGAGAAATATAAATAAAGAAATTCATAGCATCAAATATCATAGCGATTCGTCGGCCAACTGCGCCGAAGATGATGGAGCAGGTGACCAAGGTGAGCCAGATGGGTGTGTCGAAAGGTGATACAATCCACGACCAGGAGGGGCGGTCATACTCGGCTTTCGGGATGCAATAAATTAAATAAAATCCCCTTTGAACGAATGAGGATATCAGGGGTTGAACGTAGTCTGAGAAATTGTCTGGTAGCGTGGTTGGAATGTTCCGTTCGCATATGTATAGAGGGGTCCATTTGAAATTGGATTTGCTATCAAACATTGGACATGGTCTAGCTGAAAAAATATGTAGATAAGCATTAATCAGAATATTTGTAAGCGTATAAGAAAAGGAGCAAAGGGAGGTAAATACGTGCATATGTATATAGAATAGAAAACTAGTAGGTCAGTAGACTTTCTTTTAAATTAAAAGCGGCAGCGCCGACAGAAGATGATCTAGCGCCTAACAGCACTAAACCTTAAACACGATAGGTACCTGGTACCACTCTATCTTCAATTATTTAAACCTCTATACATTTACCTCATTCATAATCTGATGTACTGATTATTTAAGAAACAGATTATTTATACAATTTCCTCGACTAACATATCGTAATTTTAAGAGATGAAATTCAATTAGTGAGTTTATGTATATGTATACCTTCCATCGACGCATTCAGCCGTTCTTTGATTATCTCGCTGGTCGTGTAGGCAACTTGACAGCCTGGCTCAGAATCAAAATACTTTTGACAGTTTGCTAGCTTGGGATTTTTCCTGATTTGCTTTTCCATCGCGAAGTAATCCCTCATCTGCTGGAAAGCGATTGCACCTCTGTGTGCGTTTGATGATAGCTTCGAGTGAAATTGTGCAATTCGAAGAGGATTTTGGATTAAATTCAAATTTAAAAGTTTTATTAACTGATTCCCCATAGGACATAGGTAGCACACTTGACGTACGAGAACAATAATTTCTACTTTTTCTTACCATTTGGAATCAATCGAATGGGACGTGACCGTGATGAAAGTTAGGGGACAAGTGATTCCTAGCTTAGTTATCTGATTCACCGTTTCGCCTGAAGCGGTGTGCTTTAAAGGGGAAATATTGTAAAAGAGGACATTATGATTGACCCCAATTATATGCCCAGATTTTGTGATTACATAACATAATTCACGAACGGTGAAAGTAAAGGTGATAAATAGTTTAATTTTTTGCAAGGAATATCGTTTTGCTGGAGCCGAGTAGTAAGCTTCTTTTCCAACAATCTCCTGGTCCCCATCCCACTCATCGAACGATATCGTGATTGGGTATATTTCATGAAGTTGAAAGTATGAGTCAGAATTTAATACGAAGCTTGAAACGTTTTTTCGAAGCGCAAATCTAAAATTAATTTGAAACGAGGCTGATATTTTTGAAATCAAGGAATTAAGGGATAGTGCATTAACCGGATAGAAATTTAGAAGTTGGAGGACAATTAAAAAATAAGCCTTACAACCAGAAATGTGCATTTTTCCTAAAATAAGCTTAACTGAACCTGTTTTCTACCAAATGTATTTGTTTGTCGTTGAATGGTTTTAACGAAACGAGATACGTCTTCATGCCAAATCGTGTGTAAAAGGCGACCTCTTTTACTACTTAAGATGGACCACCCGGGCAACAAACTAGAAATGAGCACGTACGAATAGCATGTTTCAAGCAGATAGATATATACAGAAATACAACGTTGGTTTCCTTATCCTCGCTGTAACCAGGATTCTTTTTAAAAAACCCTACTCTAATTCCATAACTTCAAGTCATTCATTTGCCGGATAAAGTTAAATATTTTCCACAAGCGTATTTCCAGAATCTTTCATACCGTTAAGAGACACTTCGGAAGTTATGTGAGATGTTCTAGATCAGCGAGGCTTTCTCGTGAGAAACCACTTCCTTGGGTCGCATTATTTATCAAACACTACAATCTGTTCCTAGCTGTTTAGAACCTTTGTGCGACAACCTGTTTACATGTACATGCAATGGACTAGGTACATGCATATAAAATTTCAATTTGAGATATTTAGAACGCTTGTGTGACATCTGAGACCCGCCCACTGGATTATCAAATCTCGAGCATTCGGCATTCGAGCTCTGGAAAATGACTTTCAAAATGACCTGTTGTCCTGACTGACGGGTAGTTAAATACATAGGAGCAACTCAAATAAACGAACCATAACACACTGATTTATGTAATGAAAACAAAATATCAAGTCATTACTATTTTAAATTAATGAAATACATAATCCAATTGCACACCTACATAGATTTGCAGGTTGCTAGTTCTGGAATGACCTGGAACATAAACCGCCCAGTTCCAACTTCGAAAAGTTACGTCATTAACGGCGTCAAACTATACATGCAGAGAGAGGGATCTTCCTGTCCTATTCACATTAAAATTACCAATTTGAGACTTGACAATTTAGAATTTCCTGATAAGAATCAGCTAAACGATGCACGAAATAAAGACGGAACTTGAGAAAAAGATAGATTCTATTCCAAGGATTGAGTAAAGTTTTAGAAATACCATAATTTCCTTTTGTTTGTGCGACTAACCGCCCGTGTTAGAGCTATGAATTTCATAGTAGTCAAATAAAATCTTCGGCATGAATTATGTGGGTTAAGTTCATTTTTAGCGTCCTAGAAATAACTTATTTTACCAGAGATGAAGATTTTCGTGTTTCTTGAAGGTTGTTTACATATTTTTAAGAAAACAAAAATACGATCGGACTATTTGACTAATTTTACAAATTTTTCGCAATTTTCTACACAAATATGTATGGCAAAATTATCTTGAGAAAAACTTTGTGCAAAGCTACTGCGCAGAATAAGACGGTTAGAAATTTTCTGCAGGATTATGCAGAACACCAACGAAAATCTAGCATTTGATGATTACTGCAGAATTCGGCACCATGATTTCTCCTCGAGGAATGGTGTCGATATTATAGAATACTTTCTTATAAATAATTCAATAACTTCAGTCACGAATATTACCAAAGTAATTAAAATGGCAGGAAAAATAGCTAAATATACCTTCGCAAACGTTGCATCTGTCACGTAGGCTTGTTGTACATACATCAATTTCCTGCATATTTCTTTTCGGCATATCAAAACTTTCTACGTAAGTAATATGTATGACTCTCATTTGAACTTCGCAAATCAAATATTTACTTACGTGGCGATTATAGGGGCCTTACAAAAATCAATTGATCGATATCGCGAAATTTTGACCCCAACCTCCCCTATGGGAAGGATAGTATGCCTTGACCCCTACCCGGC